CATTGACCGATTTAAATATATCTTATACAAACCACGAGAGAAGCGCAAGAAAAACCACATTATCAGCCGCATGGAACTCGATAAAATGCAGTAAATTTCCTGTAATGAGCAACGTCGATAATAATACACGCGGACAATAGCTTGTCAGTTTTATTTTCCAAGCACATAATGCTATTAATTAAATTTCTTTGAACTTGTGCCACGTATGTATATTTGAATTGAGGATGAGATAATTAAAAAACTAAAAACAAACGAAATTTAATATAAAAATGCTTCGAGGTCGCTTCAGCGGTTTTTGTGTAAAAATATATAAAATCTGTAAAAGCTAATCTATTCATAATGTATCGGAATTCATAACATACGCGAGGAAGAAACGTCCGCATTACCGATGTATCGTATAAATGTGCAAATCTCTGACTATATTCCGAATTCTCAGATGCATTTTCTAATAGGAAATAATCTCGCGAGTCGAACAATTTTTCTCTGTTACACATACAATTTTCGAGGTATTCACTTACGACCTGCAGATCATCCATTTTATGTGCTATTTCAGATCGCTATAAATTTTCTCAAGCCTGACAGTTAGATAAGTGAAGTGACCGAATAATGCATCTCTCTCTCTCATAGTTAGGGCAATGCAGGTCGAGCCCTCCCTCGGGAGGGAGGGTGGAAATTTCACGTAACCTGCTTTTTCTTGGGAGCTGGAACAAGGTCAGCGTAGCGCAGCTTCGAAGGGCGGATGAATATGGGTGGTGACGCGGGCGGGCAGGTGGAAACGCGCACGTGTGCATAGGCCTGAGGACACACCACTCGTGGACACACAACTCGGACGTGTGCGCGACGACAGGCGACTTTACCGCGCAGCGAGGTAGCGCGTAATAATATCGCATTGTGTGTCGCGCTCGTGAATATCCGAGACCGTTGGGGAAGGTCGCGTTCGTCCGCCGTTTCCCGTTCGCCGCGTGGATAAGCATAAATCGGAAATTAATTCCTTTCATTCTACAATCGCAAAGATTCAGTACCGAGACGAGTCTATTTTAATTTTCCCGTATCTTTGAATGCTACAATTTGCCATGTATATTTTTGAAACACATTTTATTTTATTAGTATTTCTTTGCAAATTTTTTGTATTTACGAAATCAATGAAAGAAAATATATTTACATAATTTATAAATAGTTTTAGTTTATTAATATTAGAATTAGCAAATCAACATATTTTAGAACAACTAAAGCAGTCAAAATAACTGATTTGTAATTTTTTAAAATTGTTCAAATTTATAGGGCGCATTTTCTGAGATTTTTCATGATTTGTGTTGCAATATGTAAATGATTAAATTGATCAATTTAAATATATTTTCTTCCATTATAGATACATATAAAACTTAAATAGTAGAAATATATATACTTATATAAATAGTAGAGATAATTATAATTATAATTTAATAAATTATAATTTCAAAATGCAATTTAATAATAAAATTTCTCAAGCGTTAAATGGCAGAAATTAGATTAACGCTTCCTTATAGAAATGTGTATGCTTTCTCAATTTAGTGACGATCAATAGCGAGGATTCATTATAAAGGTCCATTTCTAACCGCTGAAGAACAAGATGGCGTAGTTGGATGCTAAGTACGTATTAAAAGATGAATCTCCGACCATATGAGGATTGCAAGCTGCGAGCGCGGATATCGATTTGTTCTTAGATTTAAAGTATTTCGGATAGAACAATTATTTTCTCTCGCGTTGAGAATTAGAACTATTATTTATCGTGTGTCACACTCTCTACAACATTTCGGTACCTAATTTTGTATTCAGCTGTATTCGTATAAAGAAACGTTTAACGTTTCATCGATAAATAAATTCTTTTCATGTCGACATATAATCTGAATAATAAAAGAAGATTTAAAGATTCATGTATAGGCCTGTGTACTTCGTCGAATTTACACATCTTTGGAAACGTAATTCGGTGTGCATGTATTTAATTAATTTGCAAATACACATAGTTTGAGTACTCGAGTACCACAATATCCGTCATGGATATTGAAATACGCGGAATGTTTCGTATATTAAATTCCATCAAGAAATCAGCATTGTAAAGTAAACGTCAAGAATTGCGACCTGCATATAAAGCTGCATTAACCTGAAACACAGAGAGAGCACGTGTACGGCACAGGAAGGGATATAAAAACCTATATGAGGGACCTCCTCTTCCCGGAATTGAGAAAATAGATTTCCGCGAGAAGAAGAAACCGCCGAGATCTCTCGGCTTTAAGGGATTTCCCTAGTCACATGACCCGAAATGGATCCTCGGCGATATTCCATTCCTGAATTATGGAACGACGATTTCAGGTTGTATGCATCCCATTAATGTCGAAGCAGGAGGATTTCAGATATAATATGCGACAATATTGATTCTAACGCACGCGAAACAGCAATTTCGATTAAATAATTTACGTTTGAGCTACCTATTTTTCTCCGTCTCGACTTGATGTCTAAATGAAAGAAGAATTTACGTTTACGACAAATTAATTCCAAACATAACAAAAAAATGAATATAATAAGTATATCTTACATTTTTACAATATATTTTAACAAATAATTGATCAAGAATTAAATCATGTCTCTTTTCAGAGCTGTCGACAAAACACTTTCTCGAGAATCGTTTCAGTTGAGTACTACGTAGTAGTAAAATCTATATATGATCGGACACGATACAATCGATTGAGCAAAATGTATATATTCAGTTTATATTCTCCGGAAAAATATATATACCTTTCCAGTCTACCATTATTGCATTATTTTAAATACGAAAAGTTTGTATTGTCACGGTAGGATAAAAAGATTTTATTTAGAAAACGTGTGTCAAAATGATAGATTGCTTCAACGCGTCTCAGCACCATCTGGAAGGCTTATTTTGTGAAAAGAATTTATACATCTTTATATCTTGCTGATGATGTTCACAAGGAATATCAAAATATTTAGTGTGACAGAAATATAACATTCGTTTTTTAGTTATAGATTTCATAAAAATCTTTTAGAATGGTTCTCTTGGTTAAACAAAAGTACAGCCCTGAATAAAAGTCTCTAAACGACCTACTTGTATTTACCTTACTACTGCTCGCAATTTTTTATAATTAATCGACCGTGCAGGAGCGATCTCGTTATCCCTCTTCTGTCGAGATGTCCGAACGCAGCCGTGAAAAAAGGCACGTAACGTGTAAAATCAGCGGCGGGCGTCGCTCCGGAACGGATAATGGAGCGTGACGAACCTCTGATTGCCGCTCTGAGGAGAGAACGCTCGTCATTGGACGCTGATAAAAAAAGTAGCAGGTGTCAGCCGACGGCGCGGCAGCCGTTGCAAAAGCGATCTAAAAATATAATGTTCACTCGCGTCGCGTTGGCGTAAAATCGCGGCTCGTTCACGCGGCATGTCCATCGATGTGACCCCGATATGTAGTCGCGATGTTCGTCGACTCTGAAAAAAAAAAGCGCATCGCCTTTTGTTGTCCACGGTAAAGTGGTAATAAGCGGCGCGAGACATTCGAGAGACGAGAGTAGATATTACTTTCAAAGACTGGACGTGTAGCGGATACGCGACATGTAAGAACGTTTTAATATAACGTTTAAATGTGAAATAAAATAAACATAGTATATATATATATATATGTAAATACATATACATATTTCTCAAATTAAGGAAAACGCCGTTAAACGATCAGAATTGGATCTTGGTTGTCTAATAATATTATTTGCGTGAATTTTACGTGCACTTCTTCGCCTTGGCAAATCACGCGCCGTTACTTTTGGACTTGAAACGCAGTCTCAACCAAAGCCAGAACAGCAAAATCACACAATTAAATTGATAATCAATTTAATCACACTAACACACATTTTTTAGGAAATTAGAAATAAACAATATGAGAAATATGGTAGAAAAGTATACTTGTTTATTAAATAATTTAACACGAACACCTTGTTACGGCTTTGTGCCTTTTCTTTGTATGTTTGATTTTTAATCATTTGAGCCTTTTTCTAGATTATTTTATTTATTAATTTTTTATTTAACATATAGAAAAAAGATTAGGGATAACGAATTATAGTTAAAAATGTTGCTTGAAACAATTCTGCCGATTGAATTAATCGGCATGCCTGAGGTGGTCGAATTGATTGAGACACCCGTACGGAATGAAGAAGATTCAGTTTCGAATCTTGGTTGGGGTGTCATTTTTCGCAACATATCCGATATATTCCGTATCCTATCCTATGTATCCCATATTTCTCGTATGGTTTATTTTTAATTTTTTTAAAAATGTGTTAATGTGATTAAATTGGTTATCAATTTAATTATTCTGTTCTGGCTTTGATTGAGACTACGTTTCAAGTCCGAAAGTAACGGTGATTTGTCAAGGCGAAGAATTGCATGTATAATTCACACAAATACTATTATTGGGCAACCAAGGTCCAGTCCTGACCGTTTAACAGCGTTTTCTTTAATGTAATATCATATCTCACTTATTTATTGTTATATATTTCTCTTTTTATATTATTTTACATTAAAACGCTACTGTATAAGAAACCTTCTAATATATAAATTAATATTATAATTAAAATTATATAAAATTGATATAGATAATAAATCGAACTTTGGATTTTCAATCATTCTGTTTCTGTAAAATAAATCTTTGTCTTTTATTATTCAAAATTGCAATTATAGTTTTTTAATTTTTTGAGAATATTAAAAATTATATGTGTATAGCTTCTATAAAATTTATTATCTCAAATTATTTTTTATTTTCTAATAGCATAAGAAAAGATAGGCGCTTCTCACAAAGTAGCAACAAGAGATCTTTGTAGGTATGAATAATAAACAAAGTACTATGTTTGCATAGTGTCACGGTAGTGAGAAGTATAAGTGGGTGGTGAGACACTTAGAGCGTGAAGTGTTTCCTTTTGGATTATCAGTTCTAGAGAGTCTACTGAGCTGTGAAAGATAATGGAAATTCCGCCTGTTTTAGATATTCGTCTGTGAAGCGTTTTTTGTCTTTGATACTAAATTGTCCCGCGCGACACATGCAATTTTCTCAGCAATCTTGCAAAGTATTCTTAGAAAAGTTCTTCTCATTAAAATAGAAAAAAAAAAACATTATAAAGAGACAAAAAGCATATTAAAATAAAATACTCTTTTTCCCTGACTATCTTTCTAAAAAGAATAAATATTATTTTAATGTTAACATATTATTGAGGGTAAATAATGTGTAAATTATATATAACAATATAACATATAGCAAGAGTACAATAATCGATATTACTTTAATTTAGTACCTATTTATTGTACGTTGGATAAAAAAAAATATATCGTAAAAAGATGCTTTCATGGACGTTTAAAGTTGACAAAGCTGCAGCGTTACATCTCTGACAAGTGATGACGTGGATAGAGGCTACAGACAGCACACGAAGGACATCATCCCCTTTAGAAGGGCTGCAGACAGACAAACCCTCCAGGCTCCCTTTTCCCCACCTACTGCCGTACCCATTGCCATAGCAACCCCTTGCATTCAGCGCAGCTAGGTTAACCAACCGATCTGCCCCTCGTGCCGTCCCCCTTCTCGTCGATGGAATATCTTTGTTGAACAGAGCTTGCAGAGCGCGCTTCCACTCTCTTTTCCTCGCATTTTAATCCAGGCCGTAGCGCGAGCCTTAAGATTCAATAAATTTCAGTAAATTGGTGTGAAAGTTCCATCAGACGTTCCGCAACGAGGCTAAAATACTTTTTCTTTAGTATTTCTAGAAAATCTTCCATAATCGGTTTACAAATGGTTGTCGATCGGAATATTTAAATTTCTCGGAATTTTCAAGTAGAAATTACAGAAGATTATGTTTAACGTTCAGTGAAAGTATCTCGAGAGATTTCAATAATCTTACGGACACACATATCACTCGAGTTAACGATTCAAACGAATTCGTAGCAAATATAAACAGATTTAATGAGCTCTCAAGACCTTGGGGAATAATTTTATTCAGCAATGTTAATCAATATCTTTCAAAGATATATTGCGTACAATAAAAGATTTTAATATACTTACTTGCGTTAAAGATTATCCTTTTATTATTATCCTTTGCTGTGTATAGAGACAACGAAAAATGATTGTTTCCGGAAATGTTTCACTATCCGTTCTTGTAAATGGCTCAGAGAGGAGTCAGAGGACCTTAAAATATCCGCACAATTGAGCTATTTTCTGGACAAGAAAGAAAGCACAATTTCTATGAAAGAACAACTTCCCCGCACAATGGAATAAAGTGTATTAGCTCATTGCAGTAGCCGCGGTCCGTGAACTCGTCAGACAGTTCAACGGGCCGAATGATCACCTCGGTCGTTCCCGAAATCATTCGTACTTTATTCGTTGTCTCGACTGTGTCGAATTCGACGCATCACGAAGGAGAATTCGCTCGCGACCCCGCGGCGGTTTGACCGTTTAGATTCACGACATCTCGTTCATTTATCAGTAATACGTCATAGCCGAGGTCGTATGGTGGTCCCGGTGATTCTACTTGGAGAAACTTGGATAAAAACCCGATTGAAAATCCGACAAGTCATAAGTCTTTCGTCTTGTGCCGGGGAAAGGGACGTTGTTTTCCTGTAGAAAATGAAAATACTCGCGGTACTCGGCACGTTCGCGGTTTTAATCGCCGGTCAGGATACGAAAATCGTGGTGTTCCCGCCCACTTCCGGAAATGGCTCGTCTTTGGAGACGGAAAGTAAAATTGACCCGGCGCTTCAATCGGATATGACGCGATCAATCTTTGCGACCCTCGCACCGCCGCCGCCGCCGCCGCTACCGCAACCGCAGCCGCAGCCACAGCCGGCGATGCCCTGGGATTACTTTTTCCCCGGTAAAGATTTTTCTATTTTAGTTGCTCCAAGAGAAAGAGACGGCGTCGTTTGATCACTTATCCTTTGTGCGAGGCTATAATCAAGCTCAACGCGTCGCGCTTCGGTCGTCGCATTAACATCTCAAAGCCGAGAAATCATTTTGAAATTGGAATGTGTCACTCGTACTGTTTTAAAGGAGGAAAAAATAATGCGCATTTAAACACAAGATTTGTTTGATAATTTCTTGGAAAATTGGGCTTACTTAAAAAAGGCAAATGCTGTACGATTGCGTAATTTTTATATATTATTGATATGAGTAATGGTTACAAAGTAATTAAAAATGAAATAATTAAAAAAATAAGTATTTGATAACGTTGCAATAATATAATAATGTAATATAAATATGTGGGTTTAAGTTGCTTTATTCACACTTGCAGTGGTTCATCTACACGATACATATTGTTAATACCTTTTAAAAAAATGTTTTAGTGCCTCAACGAGCGTTTCTGCATCACAGAAGCGAAAATATACCATATGGATACGAGTATGGCAATCCTGCATATCCAGTAACGCACTCGATAGGGCACTCCATCGGTCCAACATCGAAACAGCTTGTAATAGTCAGTTTCATCGGTCTCTTGCTGCTTTTGGCGATTATACAGAATACGCTTAGCGCTGTTAAGCGGAAAGATACGATAATAGATCTATTATCATCCAGGCAAAAGCGGGACGTTTACGCTACGCATGATTTTCATTCCGTGGTACGTTATTTGTGATGTCGTTAAGTTAAAGAGAATCCTTTCAATAATAAATTTCTAATTAAAATTACATTATATTTAAACTTGTACGAAATTAATAAATTACATATATATATAGAAGTTTCTTTTCGAAGTTTCTGAATTTGAATTTCTTTGGTTTTGATATTTTTAAAAATTTAGATCATTGTGGAATTTATTAATCGCATGTTTAGAAAAAAGTTTTCTCAATTTAAAAATAAATTTGGAAAGTTATAAGTTAAATTTCAAGTTTTTTGTCACTCGTCTCAGCCGCGAATATAGCCGGGCAAGTTTGCTGGACACTTGGAAGCTTACTTACCGTGATGAAACATTTCGTTTCTGTTGGCTGAACAAAATTGCTAGAATAAATCATGAATACCAGACTTTGCAGCAAAAATGTTTGTGTGCCAGTAGTAGATTAAGACTTTCAACGAACTTTTAGACCCCGGAGGAAGAAGAGATACTTAACAGCGATGCCAGAGTACGATGCATACAGAGGACGATCTGTCTTGAAAATCGCAAGCTCTTTAAAGATTTGGGCGCACCTGGTGAAATGCTGGCAAAATACTTGACGTAGGTTTTACTGTTATTATTTTTAACAATGCATTTTGTATCGAAATTACGCTGGAAACTTAATATAAAGATAAAAAAATTACTGAAGAAGGGAAAGAAATACCGGATAAGTTTTTCGCAGTCAGTTGCATTCAATAATAAAAACAAAATTGTAATAAAATTTACATATCTGTTCATGCAGTAACTATAGTTTCGATTGAGTTTAAATTCAACTAAATATGAATTTAATTCGCGTTAAAAATTAGCACTATGATTTTTCACAGGAAAGACATAGAGAAATCGTTCAAGTTATCCTCGGGTTGGGATCGACTCGTGAGAGATGCAGGTGCAGCGGGGATTCGAGGCGAGAACTGTGATGTACTTTATAGAGATTGCGAGATTCCCGTAACGAAGAAGATACATAAAAAAAATGTCCTAACAAACATAAAAGGTCACGATAATTTTAATTCAACTCGTTAATATTTCAGAAGTTATGAAACGCTTTATTTATACTTTTGCCTCGTGACAAACGTGAATCAAATTATGTGTACCTATCTGCTATTTTAAATAAATCGAGAAATTTTTAATATCTCAAAATTAGTATTTGTCTTCAGAAAACAGGAACATAACATTAACATTAATTAACTAATGTGTACACGTATCGATATACTCTTTCCGATGTATTGTGTTGCCGTATTAATCAAAATTATAAATAAATGGACTGGGTAAATAAAATAGCCGGTGATATTAATGACTTTTTAATTTTAATTACAATATGCTGCGTTGCATTGTTCTTTATCTGCTACAAACATCGACATCTAGCTTGAACTATTTTAGATAGCGTCGCTATGGGACACACTTCATTTGCACACTCACACACACACACTCTCTCTCTCTCTCTCATCATCGGAATTATAAGAAAATATCAAATATCGCGAACAAAATGGAGACATCGATCGCGTCTTCGGCATTTTGTATGTTGGCCTGTTTTCTTGTCCTCCTTCTTCCATAAGTATTCGCCCCTTCCTGTCAGCTAATTATACAATAACGCTCCCAATATTATCATTAACATTAAGGCATAATATGCTTATAAGTTTTGTATCTCAATTTATGTGTCACATGGTACGCTAATGTGTCATAACACGCTGAACGCGTAAACTTACACTTAAATAGACGTGAGATCGCTCGTTATGATAGTCCAAAACTGCGCCCCAAAATTCTACTTCAAATCGAGGATTTATTAAGAACAGTTTTCCGAAACGTGAGATAACATGCTATGTGGGTGAAGCTATCGTTCCAAAAATCAAGGTAGAAAAGACTCTTACTAGAAGATATCCAGAGAAGATCCTTGCGACCTTTTAAAATAGATTAGAGAAGAAATTAAATTATTTAAATAGGATGCTTATACATAAGCATCAAAATTGCATTAATTTAGAAAGACCAAAACCCATGGCCTGAAATGTCTTGACGATAATCTGACTAAAATCAGTAGTCATATGGTCATGACGATGATAGCCGAGTCGATTAGAATTCTTAATTGCTCACAAATTCTTTTATGAAACTTTGGATGTCTCCTCAGAGATCGATCTGAATCCCTCATTACGGTCTTATTGTCTCACGCTCGGAATCCATCCGAATCAGTAATTTACTTTGTTAGAGCTTACTCTGTTCGCCCAATCATTTCTATATTTTATTTAGAAATTGATTGAGTGGAATTTTGGAATGCAACGGAGCTATCTTGTAACGGAATAAATTTTAACGCATGCGTTAAAATTTACAACTTTCCAAAGAGAAGAGGTAAAAAAAACGTGCAACGCAAAAGTGCATGCGTTCGCCGGGAAAATTTGCCTGAAAAAAATTTTGATTTAATATATATTTTATTAAATGTCATCGAAAGGATAATGAACTATCTGCAAAATTTTATATTCTTGTTTAACGCATGCGTTATAATTAATATAACATGTTAATGGAGTGATAACGCGTTGGAAAGGTAACGCGTGTCTTATCGTGTCTCGTAAACGCGTCTTAAAATCACCGACATCACATTATGCAAATGATGCGCTTAGCCAATTAATTTTTACATACCTCTTTTGTATATACCTAATCACTAATGCGCAGTCTGTAAACCGATTCGGTGCGACTCAATATTTCTCGATTATGTATTTTATAGAAACCGCCGCGTTTTTCTCATTTAAGAACAGGCATCCCTGGTTAAAGAGAAGACCTGATTTAAGAGGAAATATCTTTGACTGTATAATCATGGACTGTCAGTTACCTCCACTTTTCCTATCTTCACAATATACTCTCGTTTAAGAGGAGGATTTCCCGGTTAAAAGGGACAATAGATTAAAAAGAAAGAAGATTAAAAAGAAATTATTTGTATGAGGAAGTACCCTTCTGAAGATACTCCCGGCTATAGAAACTAAAATAGCCAATCGACTGGCTCTCACCAAAAATCGATTTAGCATATGCTGGTGAGTAAATCATTTGAGCTAGCAACAGCAACAGCACACGAATACACGTCGCACATATTGCTATATCCCTAAAGAGACAGATTTCCATCGACGTAGGTACGTCTCATTCGAAAAAAAATGCGTGGAAATCATTTAAATTATATTGTCGTAATAATCCTTATCATAAACATGTGTTGATCTATATAATCATGCAATATAAAGTTTTCAAATAAATTGCGAACGCTTGCATGATATGATCAGCATTTTATGTGTTTGTATGTGTAATTTAAAATACACATCTTTCTTTCCATTGCTCTGTCAAGCAGTGACTGATACTACAGCAATAAAGACGGAATTTTCGTAATTTAAAACTTTCCTCGAAATAACGAGTCAAATGTCACGAGTAAAGGTGCAATCCTACGTAAAGGAAAAAGCGGAACGCAAAAGAAGCATAGTGGGAGGTAACCAATCAGAATGTTTCTCCAAAAGCGTATCTGTTCTGATTTTAAATGACCGGGTTTTCCATGCACCAGAAAAGACAGAAATACGTAAATATCAAAAGAAACTAAAGTTATAAAACTAAAGCTAACTAGCAATAAAGAGAATTTTTGCTTAAATAGAAAAAGGTACGAGACTCGAAGATATAAAACACATCAGATAATAATAGAAAGACCGATTACTCGCCAATTGGACCTTAGTTAGCTTTAGTTTGATTTTGGATTAATTTTATAAGTCATTTAGTATAAAATTGAATTACTACCTATATTAGATTTCGCCTTTTCGTTTATCATTTTACGTATTCTACTTCAATTTCTCATTTTATTTTTATTTAAAATTTTTACATTTTATTTTTTTTATATTTATAGTATATATAGGCCCGCTGCCTTAAAAACACAAGAGCAAAAGAACGTATGGTGAGACACTGCATTTACAGGGGTAATCCGAAGCAGTCTTGTGGTAACCGACGATGAATTCCGTCCCTTTCCGCTCTTTCGTGCAAAGCCAGGTTTAGCCGCAATAATTAACACGTTGTTTGTCATCTTGATCGGCATTATTGAAATTTTTTAAAATGTTTGTTTGAAAAATAATGCCGTTTAATATAAAATTTTGAATATATAAATAGCTAGATGTAAAGTATAAAAACACTGTAAAGTAAGAGGTGCGCAATTTAAGACATTACTTATATAAAGATATATAGTCTTATATATATATATTTAATCATATTACACAATATTTTATCATATGCTTATAATAATGAAAATTCTACTGTGATGTACACAAGCCACAGTAGAATTTTGATAAAACATAAAATTTGCTAGGCAGACAACGTGTTAATTTACGCTCAACGAATATCGGGTCATTCACAATACAAATATACCTGAAATTAACACCTGCTTTCTTTCAACCATTATGTACTAATGTTCTGAAAAAATTTGTCAAAAAAATAATATGATCAACATTTATAGTGTGACAACTGCTGTAATAATTTGTCATCCAAGAATGATTTTTTTATTCATTAACTATTTATAAATAACCCGACATTTGATCTGCGATGCTGCTGATTAATAATTAATTAATCTGCACTGGTTGAGAAATAAGTAGTTAAAATATAGAAGTGGAGAAAACTACTATACTATTACTGTTTCATATTCAACCAAAAAATTGATTCGCGATATCGTTATATATGTTAAATTATCCAGAAATAATTTCGATTTTCCTCATGTAAATGTAAACAGCTTGTAGCAACAGTTGTAGCTCCGCGTAAAAAAATTTTATTAATTAAACTAAAACTGTTCAAATAAATAGATTTTTTTTTAATGTAAGAGATTAGTTTTTATCCTGCTAAAAATGTAAGTTTTTCAGTAGCTTTTAATTGTGAAAAACTTTCTCTTGCAAAAAGCTTTAAACACCAAATAATTTTTTGTCAAAGAATTTAGATGAAATAAATCTTTAAATTCCCATTTGTTTAATTTATATTGTGTCTCGCCGTGTGTGTGTGTGTGTGTGTTCAACTTTCGAAAACTTGGAAATTTTTAGTTTGGTCCTTTTGTATACTTCGTCTTTTCATCATGCACTTTCTCTCTGTGCTCGTAAACGTCACTTTCGCCGTACTGTGTTGCGAGTCCATGTTTACATTGACAAAAAAATGCTCTCGTTAGTGCCTATCGATATTCGCGCGTAGTAATTTAAATTCCAGCCGAAAGCCATGCGTTATCATTGTCGTCGAAATTGATGGATCTTAAACTATGATTGTGGGGTGTTGATAAGAGAATGTCTGTCCTTTCACCGAGAAGTCCGAGAGTCGAATTGGGCGCATATATACTTTGGCTAAAGTTATACGTCACGAGTAGAACTTAGCCCGTCCTATTTGTGAGCTTTTTCACGAATGGAAAAAAGTAATTTACCGTTGGAAAATCATTAAGCGACGCTCCTCGAACTTTACTTCGAATAACGAGGAACGATTGTTTGTACGATTGTCCATGGGCACTACCCTGATAATTACGACTTTGACAACTTTGGAGCTACTGTCTACTGTGCATTTTCAGGAAAATGCCTGTATATAGGTCAGAAAGGCTCATATTGTTCACAAAAATACACACACACATACCATCAATATAAATGTCAATTAAGTGTTTGAGTTTGGCTTCCGGATTGGTACTGCGTGAATTTTTCATATTATTCCGGCGTTTCATGAATATTTCAGTTTAATTCGTCGTTACTATCGTATTATAAAGAGATATCGCTGTCTTCTGTAAGAAACGCATGGTTCAAGTCATACACGCTTGTCGCATTTTATATAATTTAGCACATGTAGACGACTTGGAGTTTTTAGAGCCTTCAATTGATGATGAATATCCTGATCCAGAAGCAGCGATTATAAATACTGAAAATACATTGGTCAATAACGCTATCGCTATCGGAAAAATTTCCTTTCTCCCTCTTTTCCCTTCAAAATTGACGAAACCGCGAGTTGCAACGCTCGTCACGCTAAAAATGGACAATCGTTGCGCGGTAGTCATGTCGTCATGACTGAATTTGTCATGTTGTTTTATCAATTGAGCTCATATTGCGTAGCCTTCGTTTTACTGAATTACTCTCTCGAGTTCATAATGATGCCCTAAGTACATTTCATACTCCTTTTTATTCCACGGGGAAATTGACAAACCCGCCTGACTGATGAAGCTCTCGCGTCGAAATGTTTTACGATGCGCCTAATACTGAGAACGACGACGGACCGAGTGTCGGCGAGGCGGATGCTGAATGGAGCCGTGCTTCTTGGCCAACTCGCTGAATTGCAGATGCATGTCGTCGTTTGATGAAGGACAGATCGAAGATCGGCACACCCGGCACGTATACCAGAGCGGTAAAGCGCGGATGTGCTTCAGCCCCTGAATGTACCTCGCTACCAGAAGAACACTGGCGAATACTAAGGTGGGTGTAAAGAACTTCGACCCTGATGCCGCCCATCGCATGTCAGACTTAACTACAGACTTTCGATCGATTGTAATCCGATACCGAAGCTCTCGCAACGACTTTGAATGTCGTGTTGCGGTTACTATATATATATATATGATTGACACATACATATATGTATACCGTGCGAAGCCCATGTATCTCTCTTTCTATTTTAAATTTCTCGATAAAAAAAAAGACATTGTTCCATATTCCTGTAGCGTAGTGTAGTGACGTTGCGACTGTCGCGAGAGAAATATCTTTCAAACATTGACGATCGACCACATTAATTTTTTTCTTTCTGTTTTAAATGATATAACTCTTTCCAACTAATTAAAAACTGAATTTTTATCAGCTATTTTAAATTTTAGAAAAATTTACTAATTTTTTCCCATTTGCGAAATACACAAATTCGGAGATAAGTTTCTTTAAATATTAACTTTCTTATAAAATAAAATATCTTTTCGATGACTTTTTTTTTTTTTTTTATATTTACAAAATAAATGACCAAAAATCGTAAATGACAAAAATAATTTTGATATCTTTGTTAGGAATTAAAATTTCATATAAAATAAATAAATAATTTGTGATTTTGACCTATTTTGCTATATTTGCGCGTATCATTTAGCGGTTTGATAATTGTCGTAAAAGAGGATTGCATTATATGTTTCGATAATTAAACTTTTATTTAAAGAGTAAGTGATTAGAAATAGTATCTGTGTATATACAGGGTGAACTCAATGCCAAAACTAATATAGATTTAGCACATAAAAGTAAGTAAAAACTGTCTAATTGTTTTGAGCATTTTTCATCAGTTGCCATAGTTGTTCTGAATTTTTTAACACCTTTTGTAAAGCTTTAAACAGAACCGCTGTATCAGTTTTAGCACTGAGTTCAGAGACACTCTGTATATGTATAATTTTTAAATTTATAGTGTTATATCTTTATATTTTTATATCTTTATATTATACCAAATATTACATATTATATTTATATATAATTATTTATGTAATTTTTTATACATACTTTCTTCGTTACATGTTTTTATTTACCATCAATTGTAATTGTGTGTGTAATCGTGATCGTCCATCACTATATTCATTTATTCATTTATTAAAGAAAATATATGCCTAATTAAATAAAATCTTTCATTCATACTTAGCTAGTCTATCTATCTCTATTTCTATTAATAAATAAATTGATTTATTAGTTATAATAGCGAATTAAAAATAATTTATTTATAATAGAAGCAAATTATCAAAATATAAAAATGTCAAAATATATTTTCTTAGTAAAACACTAAGTAGTAATAACAATAATAATAATAATATTAATAATAATATATACATATAAGATAGTGACATTGCGCTTCAAGATCCCAGAGTTCTATCCCTTCTGGCGAAAAAAATCCGTCAAATAATATAATAATAATAAAATTGATTTTGATTAAAATTTAGAAACGAGTAGTTTTAAAGCTTTTTGGAACATTAAATTATATTTTCCTTCAGGTCTATTCTATTTGAGTTATCTGTAATCGCGAGTAGTTTAATAGAATTGTAATTAATATCGATAATTAATAACCAAATCTCAAGATTCGGAAAGTAAGACAGTATCCTGAAAAGTCTTATCTAAAAATTAGCATATTATTATCATTGTTATTATTATTATCTTGAAATATATGTTATCTTGAAATTTTTTTCCTGAAATATTAGACAAAATTCAGTAAAATTCAAAAAGAATTAGTTTGTCTAATTCCCATAGAAAAATAAATTTTCAAGGCTATTAAAAGGCTAAACATAGATAACGATATAAACAAAATTAGTAATCACACATTTGTATATTTTAAATAATTCTAATAGATATAAGTTGTAGCGACAAAAATAGGTTCATTGAAAAGTAAACACTTCTTACGAGACATTTCATACTTTACGTTAGAATATACCAAAATAAAATACGAAATAACCCCTAAAAACACAATTGTTGACCTTTTTCTAAATTATGTACTAGTATCTTTATATGCACGAAATGACTAGACTTTTTTTCTATGTTAAAATCATACGACTCAATTTTTAGAAAATGCTAATAATCTTAAAAACTTAAATATGAGCTTAATTAAAAAAATTAAAATATTTGTCTCCTCAAATCAGACAATTTCTTCTTCATTCATTTCCTATAGCATCAAAAGTATACATTTATGAATAAATTTTAGCCGATCGACTGAAATGTCTCTGATGGTAAATAAAAACATGTAAGGAAAAAATTATTTAATTCCAAGAAGCAACTTTTATATTATAATTCAAATTTTTGACGTTCCTATAGTCTAGCTGCTATGCGCCGAACTCATGATGTATTCCATCAAACTCTAGATACGAAAAATGCATGATTTATGTAATTATATTTTAATAGGAATGTAATTATATTTAACAGAAAATAAATTTAAAATGTGAGACTCTGCAAATAAAATATCTTTTGATCTGTATAGATCTGATGTATCAATCTATGTGTGTGCAAAATATATTTTGATTTTAATCTTACTTTTTTATTCTCATTTCCTTTAGATATATTTAAACCTTTTAGTTTAATTTTTCCTAACTTGGAAGAAAATGCATTAAGACAATAAAATTTCAAACTTTTGTTTAAAAAAGATATTTGTTTGAAAAACAAATATTTATAATGTAGACTATGTACCTACGAGATGGTTTATGAAATTAACAAATTAATTATTCTTGCATTTTTCTCTAAAATTTTATATATAATTCTCTACAAAAATATTCAAATTATATTATCGATATTAGAAAAAGAACTCTCTATTATTTATGTGAGTTTAAACAAACGAGTTTTTAAAGATTTAATTTTATGGAATTGGAAATAAAGACGCAATTTTATAGAAATTATCATAAAGTCAGTATTCAAAGTAACATATCTCCGAAAATACTGCAAATTTTTTAAGTATATTTTAATTTAAAATTTTCTTGGGTTTTATTATTATAGCGTTTATAATATATTATAGTATTTAAATGTTAAAAGTTCCGAAAAGTTGTTTTACTTTAACAAAATAGTCGTTTTGACGAGAAATAATTCTTCATTTGTCGAAACACAATGTTACGACTGTTTATCGCTATCGCGAGACTTTTGCAATGCAACTAAATGGTGCATTAAATAATTAATCCTTGATCATTTGTTGAACTGAATCGTGTGCAGTTTCAGCACCTTTTCGTCCAAGTAGATAGTTGTGTATTATAAAAAAATAATTCCTACAAAAATATTTTCTTTTCATGTTTATTCCTGTAGCTAATATTAGATGTTATTACATATTATCAAACAATAATGTATTCTACAGAGCAATTGTTGAGCTATTATCATGAGAAAACCGAAATTTATTTCTGGACCACGACTAATACGACATTTGGATAAAATTCGAAATCAAGCGATAACAATTTGCGAACGAAAAAGCGGAGGGAAAAAATTAATCGTGAATACTCCTGAAGTATTCACAGCATTCACGTATGCATGCAATATACATTCATTACGCATACAAACACACAGTACACGTTCTCTCGTTCTCTTTCTTACACATACTTCCTCTTTTAGATTACTAGCGTTAATTTAAACTAATTTGTTTATCCTGCCAGATTAAACTAATAACTTGCTAATTATCGTCCCATTACACATCGCATCTCATTAATAAATTAGACACATTTGTCGAGGCAACGTAGGCAAGGGCAGGTGGGCAGGCAGTTCACGGAAATTAATCCTTGCAACAGCCACGTGAATTTTGCTGGAACACTTTCCGCGGCGCATGCAAACGAATCGGATGCCGTTTTCGCGGTTTTATTGTTAAAAGCTAGCTTGCCTGTGCTTGTCGTTGTGTGCGATCGATCGATGTAAGTTAAAATCGAGATAGCCCAACTATCTTCTTAGCTCTTTTTCAGCCTCACGTAAGAAGCTTACTTGTAAAAATGTAAAATAAAATATATACCCGTATAAATTTTTTTCCCGATAAAAAAATGTACGAAATTATGAATTATCGTACGATAGTCACTTTGTCGACTTTTAATAATAATTTAAATAAAACTGGATTAGATAGTCATACAATAAAGTTGGTTTGTGCACATTATATGGCTCACTTCTCTTCATATTGATTTACACTTTTAGCTATATCAAATTGTTTTGAAGATAAACCAATCGAAAAATGATTATCCTTTTAAAAAAATGTGTATTGATCTGTATTTGTAAAAAAGGACGCGTAGATACAAATGTAAATAGATACAAATTGGATTCAAGATAATGTCTCGAGTTTTTACTGATGGCTAAATAACCTAGATACATAATACATTTACATTAAATAGATAATAAAATACCTTAGAGTTTTATTCTAAAATGGAATTATAAATATTTTAAAATAAAATCATTTGTGTATTTTAATTAATTAAAAAAATATGTAAATGAAAGATAATGTATATATAGGAATTATCTTGTCATCAGAAATTAAACTTTTAACTCAGACTGATCAAAAAGATTCATAATAAGATCAAATTATGTCTTATTATAAATTATTCTTTTTGAGTATAAATGTCAATATTATAATAAGAAAGCTCAGAATGCAATTGATTCTTTTTATTTCATTGTTTCCATTTCATTGCTATGCTCAAAACAAGTTGTCATTTTGGATAGTGATAAAATCAACTTAAATCATAAGAGTTCTTTATATGCTTCGACAAAGAATGGCGAGATAAATCAAAGAAAAAATTTCATCTCGTGTTCAATTGCCATATCGATCGATCGCATACACATTTCTCCCTATCGTATAAAAACAGAAACCACAATTATATCATAATATTTGTAAATACCTGACTAACACGATAACGACGACCGAGTAATTAATTAAACTATTGGGATCTCGATACAGTAATAATATTAATATTGATCATTAATAATAATTTTGTACAATATTTTCATCCTATTTGTCCTCTCTCATGCTCGGCTCGTGACATGCGCTCCTATAGGCAATAATTCATATAAAACAGTATCGGTTCAACGGGTAGCAATAGGTATAGTTGCGGAAAAACCTTCCTTTCTGAGGGTGTGCGCGCGCGCGTGTGTACTAGTTTTCCTCAGTTTTCTCGCGCGTGTATAACGATATATGAATGACATGTATGAATGAATGTACATTGAATCGTGAACGCTTAAGGCGCGTCTTCGGGTACGCTTCTTGTGTTCCCTCTTACACGTACTTAGAATCGTATTTTTTTTTTTCTATCGTGGTACGCAAAGTCGCCCCGCTGGAGAGAACTGTTTCGTCTTTTTTTGCCTTCATGCACAGGCACAGGCGCCGAATAAAAGATGACAAAGTAAATTACCCGACGACTCTTCCCTTCCGCGCAGAAATTTCCTCGCAGCGTCTCTCTTTATCTCTCGTTCCCATTACATGTGTTTCCATTACATGACAGAATTATCTCCGACGACGACGTGCCGATGGAGAGACGAGATACGTTTTTCGAAAAGATTGAGTCGTCATCGCATCTGTCCGTTATCATTCGATCTGTTCGCGTCGCAGATTCGCATGCTTCCTCCGTGTATTCCGTGATGAGAGGTAGCAAAGGCAAACGTCGCTGATCACGCTCCCGGCGTGTTAAGAATCGCAAAGCTGTGTGATCAAAAGCTCCCGAGTGCGAGATCGTGCGAGCGCGCTTTTGAAAGTGTCGCAGGTACGACGCGAGACTGGCCGTCTCGCGAACTGCTTTGTGATGAGTGTTAGAATGTTGTCCAGCGAGCGAACAATGGGCTCATTCAAACAGGTCATCACACAGGGGATTGCAATCAAGAAACGTAACCGATACAGATGCAAAAGCAAATGCGACTTACGTCCAACGAGGAGCTTAGAACAGTCAGATAAAGGCTGCGAATGGTTGACGATAATTTGGAAGATGCGATACGATCCGAGTCTCGGACGAGCTTAAGCCAGTGGGTGCAATGACATCAGCGATTAACAATCAAGGTGATTTCGAAATCGCGTTAAGCCCGCGCGTCAGAAAGCAAGATATACCGAAACGGAGGTCTGACGATGCGAGATGATTGCTCTCTGCTTGTATGAAACGATGAAGATGGTACCACTCTCGCATTCGGTCTGCCTGTTCCGCAGCTACGGATACAATCGTCGTCCACAATGCACACGTATACGTCGTCGTACAATATTATCAATATATCTATATACAATTCGACATAGCCGTTGACGGTAGCGTAGTCTTTAACCTAAGCGACAAACGTAAGAGTAAAGAGATACTAGAGACCAGTCGTAAGATTTGTCATGCTAATAGTATAATAGTTACACATCCGATATAATCAGCATCATTGTTCATCATCGTCAATGTCGTTATTGTAACTATTAAGATCGATAATCCGATAATCGTTATGATGAGTAAATCCGTGATAAGTATAACCCGATGTGCGGTCGCGTTACTCGTCACCCCTTTTACCGGATTACATTTGCTACATAGCGGCTCTCCATGACAGTTTTAATTCGCGTTTGGAATAATTTGTGCCAATGCCCGTGTGTTCACTCGCTTCTCTTAAACATTAGTTAAATACATACTATTTTTCCGCAAGTCATTACAGCACTTTAAATCAATTAGATGTGGATAATTAATTTTAGTAACATGCTTTTTTCGTTATTAGGGTACTTAGACGTCTTATATCCGATTCACCACAGCGCGAGTTTCAGATGCTTACCCCTTTTTCTTCGCATTCTCCACTCGGTCTCTCTCTCCCCCGCAGAATTCGCAATTGTAAAGTCTACATTTTCGAACACTGCTAAAGAGAATATTATGGCAGGGTTATCTTTGTTCTTCCTCCCTCGTATCTTCCTCGTCGTCTCTGTACTATATATATATATAGTACAGCTATAGCCATCCACGATACACGCACACACCACTATACTTTATTAAATCTAGCATGCTTAGAAAATACTTGAAAAATGAGTCTATTGGAAGGTGGCTGCCCGATGTCCATCACTATACACACTTCTCCAAATTGAATTAATCGTTCCACAGTTGTGCGATCGAGGTCACATTTCTTGCTGAGTATCCTCGTCGTAGAAAACTTCTTCGCATCTTCTATTTTCTCTGTTCGCTTTTTCTCCCTCTTGCTCCACCATTTTTTCTGCTGTGGCCGGACTATGAGCCAGCAGCGCTATCCACTATCAATTAACCGTTGTAAGCAAGCAACACGTCCGTATCAGCCTCCAGGCTTGATTAAGTCTAATTTTTTTTACTGGCCAACTGCGAAGCGCTGTAATTTCTTCGTGTTTTCGCATAATCTTTTGCCTTCCGTCTTTAACCACGCGTCTCCGAAATTGCGCAAATTGTCGCATTGCCATCGTCTGGCACAATTCTATTCATCACATATACGCATCGTCAGTAAGGCGAACATTAAAAAAAAAAAAAAAAGAACAAAGGCATAGATGCTTGCCGATGCGAAAGTACCGAAATCGGTTTCCTCGGTAAAACTTTCTAATAATCAACAAAGAATAATTCTCTATTCCGAGAAAGAAATACGAGTAACATAAGACAACAATAAGCAACGTAAAACAACATTAATTAAAAACAACTAAATTTAGAAATGTTTTTTCTAAATCTCGTTACAGTCCTTTTCTTCTATTTTGTCTCTCAACCCTGCCTCCATCGAGTTAAACTTATCGACGATGGCAATAACGACGAAGAGGATTGCGGTCATCGTGGCTTGTCCTGATAAGGGCGCCACGAGTCGTTATCAATACGGTATTTCGGCGTCGCTCTCTCAGCGCGCCTTCTCGAGGTCCTAGGCGTGTCTCGACGCGTCGTCGCATGATGCATGTCAGTCTGTTGAACATCGTGCGCTTGATTAACAGAGACGCGCGGCTAAGGGGTTGCTGTCCTTGGTGGTGTGAAAGGGGATAGCGGACGGTCGCCTGTGCGTCGTAGTGGCAACGTTGTAGCACGGTGATGTTCGCAGTCATAATCGTGGTGGCATCTTGAGGAGATTCACTCAGTGGTTACCTTCTGTCCCGGTAAAGGAGATAAGTCTTCATTGTCTGCGGTAGGTTCAGCTCGTTGATCTTGTCTTCTAGTCTATGCTTGCCGATTCGCTGTCGAATCACTCTCCGACAAAGATCCATGAGAGGCAGAGGTTCAGCTGTGGAGAAGACGAGCGTATAATTAAAAGAGGATACCTTTAATTATACGTTTAATAGATGTCTTATGTGTTTTGGTCGCTTGTTGTTTTAATATCTAGTAAATGTCCATTAAATAATAATTTGAAAAGTGGACCAAGAAAATTTGATTTTTTAAATTAAAATATCTTCGTGAGATAAGATGACGTTAAATATTTTTAGAATAATTGTCATAATTATATCCGCTTACGATCAAGTCCGCCGATGTATTTCATTGTGATCTCGCAATGTCCCCAAACGGCGGATACAATAGGGTGTAATTTCCTTCCTTTGAGTCCTCTAAACGCTACTCCGAGATACTGACCATCGACCACGAATGCTAACGTACCTTCATCCATATCGAGGACAACTGTGGAGAGAAATTATGTGTGATAAGTTTAAGATAATATACGCGTAAAGAAAATCTGTCTCTGGCTTGCGATGCATCTTGTATAATTTATAAATTCTCGTGGAAAATCGCGCGATTGCGATTACCCAAAAATCGCTTACCCAGAAATTTGTCAGGAACAATGAATGTCTCGTCGGACTTGAGAAGGGTTGGATACGTCATGCCAGTGTTGTTTCTCGAGTCGTGATAGAGTTTGTTTCTACCAAGGTCCCAACCCCAACTGAGCTCGTTGTTGCCGACCAAACTCTGATAGCCGACGCTATGTAGCGGCGCATCCGCGGTCGCGACTCCTACCACGGCGTGCGTACCTCGTTGCCTCGTGCTCCAATAAAGCTCCCATACGTGCATACCTTTAGTATACCCCACCTTCCCTCGTATGCAATCTGTACTTTGCGCGACGGGATGTCGATGAAACGTTAACTTATCGTCCTCCTAGGAAAAAAATAATGATCACAGTTTAGTGAGAAACTTGGTTCATCAAAATTCTAATCTAGAGCACGTCTTGAAAATGCCAAACAGATAAGGTGAATGAATAATTCATAAATAGTATTAAACGTAAAAAAATCATATATATTTTTTGATAAATTTTTTAGTCCAAGTTCAAACAAGCTATACGATAAAAAGAGGAGAACAAATTTTAGCACCTCTATATTTACACTTTTATGATTACTGAAGGGAGTGATATCTATGCGATATATGGATTTTGGATTAGTCCCATGGCAACAAGAAATTTGTCTGATGTAATATGTCCGCGTGAAGATAAATTATAATTGCGAAGTCATATATATTTGTGAGAATTTACTCGTGTATTTCTTTCAACATGTTGATTGCGTGATCGTATCCAAATTTTTTAAGATAAAAAAATAAATAGCATCTAATGTAAAATTGCAAATAACAGAAATAGTAAGATAATAATAAAAGGTAAAGAGTACCATGTTGAACATGATATATTTATGAGAATACAGTCTTATTTAATCAAATTAAAAAAAAACAATAATTTAGGACTCTCGATAATGGACCAACGCGGCTATTAGTGCGTAATTTTATAAATTAAAAATGATTTATTTCAATTTTCACAAAATAATTCCGGACGTTTCGGCTCCACATTGAGCCATCCTCAACAGTGTAAAAATTAGTAATATCTATTTCTCACGTTCTCCCTGATGTCAAAGTTGAGTGCTTCAAGACTCAAAAGGGAAGTCAAAAAGCCCTCTATTTCATTGGAATGTTGGCGTGTAGTTGGACTAAGGGATCGTTGTCAAATAGTCCTTATTACACAATATTACACAATATTTGATTATTTTGTATACTTAATGATGAAATTTCTACTATATGACGTACATGGTATGACATACAAAATTTGTTGCACAGGCAACGTAGTAAGGATCGATTTCGATATTATTTATATAATCAGTACCTTGACGAATATATTTAGACTACGGTCGTCGGCGTTCCAGCTATGGTGGACCTGCGTCTCTCGCGAGGCGGGTGGCATGTCGAGGAGCACGTCGAGGCGCGGCGGCCTCGCGAAGTCCTGGGCCAATTCGCGCGGTACCACCGATCGTGTGTACGTCGTGTTGTTGTTGCCACCGCCAACACCGACCCCGCCGCCGGCACCGGCACCGCTCTCCCGGCTCATGCTCTTCACGCCGCCTGGAAAAGAGAAGTAAATCAGTCCCGATCGGATTCTACGGTGCCTAGCCCGCTTTCGTAACGAGCCTTACGCAGTTACTGTCGATTTTGATCACCCAACACTGTGACATACACACGACAATTTTATCACCGGATAATGTTATCTAAGTGTAAAAGTCCAATACACGGGAAATATTTTGACCGAAATATATACAAGTAACGTGGCCGAGACATAGAAGCCTCTAAAGCGTGCACCGGTACGCAGTAATCGCAAATTTCGTCACAGAACGGATAACTACGACTATGCTGGAATGTTCTTACGACGTTATCACACTTTGCGATAAAATGTTTTCTTTATGTATATAAAAGCAGGTCGAAAAACAAGTAACACTTACTTGTATAAAAGACTCTGTTTTATAAATGTCCAAAAACATCTGAAAGTCATTCAACATGCGTGATTGAAATCTTATCTCGTTTTATGAACTATGATTTCCGCGCACGCCTATGTTTGTAAATACTATCGTTAGTATGATTTGACCTTTGTTTAATTTTACAACTGCGCTAGTATATTTAAGTTATCCATTTTTATCAACTTTATCACGATATGAAAAGGTATAGTAATAAAAAAATACACCAGTCTGATTGACTTTGAGCGCTTGTGTGACGTATCTGCGGCAGCCAGAAAAATTATTGAAAAAGATAAATGAACGGTACATGCGTGCTCGGTATTATATTTTAAAAGTGGATTTTCTAAGAAAAATAGAGATATCGTGCGAAGAAATTTTATTCTACTTATTCTACGCTTTTGACTTATCTTTATTATTCTTTTATTAACTGTAAACTTATAAATCGATGGGAATCTTGCATGTACAAAATCTCTGGCATTAAGAGACATCGCTGAGAAAAGATGTTGGACTAAAAGCACTACTTCGAGCACTACAATAAATATTTTAAATATTTATTTTAATATATATGTAGTCGGAGAGCATAAGCTTATTTAAGTTATCTTATACCACCGCGTCGCTGAAGACAGCTCAAAGTAGAGCCGAAACGTACGACTTATAACTTGTATTGAATTTTTAATTAAATGTTACCTAACGTTACCTCACCCACAACTGCATTTGATTCTCAATTCACTTTTTCCTTGTTATTCGTTAATATATACATATATCTTTCCATTACAATAACCTATACCATAAGAACATAAAAAATTATAAGGTTTTATCTAAAATACTTTTCATATATTTTTACCATTTTGATGATAATTGTTTAGAATCAAATATAAGCGTTAGCTTTTAGTTGTTTCACTTCTTAAATCTCAAAATAAGCACATATGAAAAAATACGTTCTCTTTTGGTTTTTAGTGTTTAACAACATATTTCAGAAAGAATCAAATCGATTCTGGACAGTTGTGATATCTCTTGTCAGTAATGTACGTGTAGAAATAGCGGATAATAGAAGTAGCGAATTAAAATGTTATTAGGAAAAAGTTATATTTTTTAAGAGGAGGTGTATGCCGTACATCGCATCGATAGATTTCAGGTAAATCTTCAGGGTAAATCGGTATCTCTGCCAATGTGTGAAAAATAACAGCGGTCGTTAAAAAGATATTGGCTGGACAAGATTTATGCGTTTCAGTGCAGGCAGGCATTTCTTCGATGAATCCTCGTTCGAGATTCAGATATCGTCTTGCGAGCAGCCATGGCTGGATACCTGCTAGGAATGCGACGGATCAGAATGTTTGGCAAGAAGGGAAGGGCAGCAAGAGAATAAGAGCAAGGCAACGATCAGGAGAAATAATGGTGGGTCCAGCGGCGGAAGGTTCTAGAAGGTTCTCGAAGGTTCTCGAAGGTTCTGGAAGGTTCTGGAAGGTTGACCCACGATATCCTTGGACCATTGGTTTATTTGCCTCTGCAGCTGTTCCCGCGCTTGAGGGCTCCTAGGGCCCTATGAAACCGTAGGTTTCCGTGCCTGAAAAGGCGAGGGGCAACGAATAAGAAAGGTCCTTTCACGGCGGCTTCGTATGTGAGACTCGAGTCCATCCCCGCCCGACATATCCGCATCGGGATCTTTTTTTCCTCGCCGTTGCCTTTGGCGTGCCAGAGGTTATTTCAGTCGGTGTTAAGCACAATACACGATCTCAGAACATAAATTTCACAGCCGCAGCTGAGTCACATATTGATCCCTGCAGTTTCAGATATGGATAAAAGGAAAAATCACGTCGTAAGTATAAACGTTTGCTATTATTTGCTATTTGTACGTTTTTCAGAAAAACAGTCTTCTGAAAATGGAATTTAAAACAATTTCTGAAGAAATTGAAAAATTCGTCCGAGAAGAAAGAATTCCATTTGTTCGCGTTCTAATTTGGGACAAATAAAAGTTGGAAAGAATTGAGAGTGTGTGCAGATCAAAGGAAAACGAATAATCGAAGAGGCTAATAGCAATTACTCTTGGTGGGAATTGTCTGCAAGAAGGAATTGTCCCATCAATCTATTAATGAGAAAAACGTCATATGTGGTAAGTAAATAACCGCAAGGATAATTACTTCGGGGCGACACTAAACCTCGATGGCGTATAGAATGTAACTGGAGCATATAACAAATTAAAGATTGATTTAAAGTAATTCAAATAAAAATAAGATCTTCGATAAGAAAAAAAAAGAACTTATAATACTTTTAGCGAATCTTTTATCGGTTGCATATGTAATCCTCAGATAAAACTATATTTTCAGAGATATGACTTCATCTTTTATGTACATTTAACTAAATAGAATCAAGTTAAATATAAATCTAATATATTAAAAATTAAAAATTAAAATAAAAGTATTTTGTTAATTTTAATACTATATTCTACCTGCTATAACCCTGTATATACTTTTAAATTTTCTCTATTTTCTAGCTATCGAACTATTTTTTTCCACGCATAAAGATATTTACTGGATATACATATATATATGTATATAATCCATGTATAATCCACCTAAATTATCTTAGAGAAATAGTTTTCTTATCGTATAAGTTATAATATTTTGTATATAAGCTATCTCTTCTTGTAAATAATTATGCATCAGACATTTTCGTTATCGTAAGAGAAATGTAAGTGTAGGATAATTGTGGGTTCGGGTAGCATGAATATTTCGGAGGATTACGGCTAGGAGAAAGCTTTGTCCGTCTTGAGGGAGTAAAGCATTCGACTAAAGGACCTGTTCCAAGCTCTACCTGAGCAGGTAAAGTGAGGCGCGGTCAAGGACCTTGACCCTCGACGAACGCTTCGTGAGGTGAGTTAATCCGAAGAACCTTCTAGTCGCGCTCCAATCCGTTTACGGGTAAAATCTGTACGCGGTAATTGCATGACCACCAATAATAAGCTAATATATAGATAAATATGTTATCCGTATATACAGACCTAATATATAATATATGATATATGATAATTTGTACAGTGCATTGTATCGCAATGTAACTTTAATTTGTTTGCAATCCTCACTTACGAAAAACTTATAATTACAGTTAACAGATACTTAACAGCTTTTTTTGGACAAAGAAATTAATTACTCATCACGCTTAATAATAATTCTGTTTGAAAATGGATAATAGCGTTTTTGTCTTAAACGTTGTTTGAGAGATTAAAATATTTGTGATTTCTTAATTAGTATCTTGTAAAAGTAACAGAAGACACAAATATCGATTAATATTTATTTTAATTTTTATAATCGATTAATTAAAAAAAATGTATCCTAAAGAAACGATTTTGTATATTTTACATTAATAGAAATCGGATTTGTTTAATAAAATAAAATAAAAATTTAAAAAGGAGACTAAAATATTGATAAGTCCTTGAATCTTCATCAACTATAATTTTAAAATTATACTAATCTGTTTTTGATGTTAAGGGGCAACCATCTGGAAACATTTTCGATTGCGGATCATTATAATGATACGCAAAAACTTGGCAAGTGAGATCACTTATAGCAAAGGCTAAAAGTCGATTTCATTAATCTTCGTCAAGATAAACAAAATTTTCTGCAAATAACAACCGAATAAATAAACGTGACGATTCACGAAACCAATGTGATCTCAGATCACGAAAAATTTTAATTTCATCATGAGGATCGTGCGATTCCGTTTAATCAGGAAGGCTATTTCAATCCACGACTAGTTGCGAGCAAAGAAAATTCCTGTTCGCTGCGGAACGCGTTCGCGTTCGACGTGGCTTGCGTTTCTGTTTCTGCATTAGAGTATACGCCTAACCTGAAATCTTTTGGCCCATGTTCATGCCCCGGTGGTGGGAGCGTTGGTGGTGATGCCGATGTGGGTGGTGACGGTGATCCGTGCACTGCTTGCCGGCAGACAGTTTGTTCCTGTGGTGTCTGCCGCAGGTGGAGGTGGTGGTGGTAGTCGTGGTAGTCGTGGTGGTGAGGTGATGATGATGGTGGTGGTGGTGATGGCCGGTAGTCGGTGGTGCAGTAGGCACCACACCACCGTCTATTCCTTCCCCGCCGCCGCCGCCGCCTCCTCCACCTCCTCCTCCTCCTCCTCCGCCTCCTCCTCCGCCGGCGCCGCCGCCGCCGCCGCCCCTACCGGGGCTACCACCGCCCCCGCCGCCGCCGCGGCCGCCTGCAGTACCTGAACCGCCTCCGGTACCGCCAGTCGCCCCGTTTCCGCGGCTACCGCCCCCGCTCACGCAACGATTCGCTTTGTACCTGCAATGCGAGAACAGAACGAGGGCACGTTAATTCGTGTGCGTTCTGAGGGGTGGGAGAGAGAGAGATAGAGAGAGAAAGAGATAAAGGGGGACAGAGATTGATACGCGAGTCCAGGATCGATACGCGTGGAAGGGGGAAAGTGATTTCGGCCGGGGGGAGGGGGATGATTTTCACGGTCGGCGAACTCGCGAGAGCGTTACGTTAAATTCTTACGAGTACGTAACGTTTCGTTTGACCGTGGATCGATCAAGATCAACGTTCATTTGCAAAAATTAAAAGAAAACAATATGGCATTTTGATTTTCTATTAGGGCCCATGGCACATAAAAAATTTAAGCAGTAAGATTTAAGCGGTAAGCAAATTAACCAATAGCTATCTTAAAGTTTTCGAGAATACTTGACTGTGATTGGCCAATTTGCTTAAGTTTTTCTATGTGCTATGAGCCTTAATTGTATTTTGGAAAGCTATATATAAAATTGTTTTTGCAATAATACAGGAGAAAGTTAAAACTGACATATCTGCATTCATATATAATATAATTTTATTTGTATACGGTAGAATAAAAGGATTATTGTAGATTGTAGATGAAGATTATAAAAATTATTATTACGAACTGGCCACGTAATATAGGAAGATTAATATTGGCAAGAAAAAATTCCGAGATTTTGTCATTACGTCCGCGCTTGATTTCTCTTTGTTCTACTTTGGACGAATCCCTAGAGATTTGGTGCAGAAAACTGCGCTGAATTTTCGCACGGGAAATCATGTTGGGCGAGAGCGTGCCCCTGGATTCGGGTAATTCGAGGTGCGCGCTTCGTCTGCGGGTTCAGAAAAAAAAAACATGT